TTTTCGCGCGCGAGCTTTCATTTCAGAACTTTTCAAGCTCTGAGCTCTTGTAAAGGACAAAAAACCACGCATTTCTGGGATGCTTATGATTTGAATTAATTCCTAACTCGTGTTTACAGTATGTAGAATCTTATAATTATTAAATAATTGCCTGTACGTTGCCCCAGTATAGTACAAATTCACTTTAACCTTATATTTTAAAAATAAAGCAAATTATTTCATCTCAAAGACAATTACCTGAAAGTCTGAAATAATTTATTTTGAAAAGCAGTTTAATTAATATTGCAGTTAGTGAACATTTCAAAACTACAGAATTTACAAAGCGTCAAAGACAAACTGTTTAAAAACTGAGTTAGCTACATTTAATTAGCCTTTCTCACGCTGCCATTTTTGGGTGGCATTTGAGCCGAAATCTGCGAGGTAAGTCCACATGCAGCGACTTTTTATAATTTTTTTGACGAATGATGGTAAATTTGCTTTGTAAATGGTTAGTTTATTTTGAAAAATTGCTTTCCACATTGTTTTAATTGTCTGCATTGGTTAACGAGAATTGGATGCCACCCAAAAATGGCGGATATTCGTCATCGTGAGAAAGGCTAATTGAAACTTTATACGGAGTATACGTGCATAATATCGGACATACTTGCATTATATATTTAAGAAATTGATCACTCTTTCATTAATAGTATGGCTACCCAATCTTATAGTTGTGGATTTTTTTCGGCCATTTTCAACAAAAAATTAAAATATATATATCTAATAATATAAATGATCGTGTTAGAATTCCTACAGCTGACGTTATTAACCTTTCTCACGCCGCCATTTTTGGGTGGCTTTTCAGCCGAAGTCTGCGAGATAAGTCCACATAACAGCGACTTTTTATAATTTTTTGGACGAATGATGGTAAATTTGCTTTGTAAATGTTAGTTTATTTTGAAAAATTGCTTTTCACATTGTTTTAATCCAAAACCCAAAAGTGGCGGATATTCGTCATCGTGAGAAAGGTTATAATCGCATGGACACTGACGGTGTAATAGTTCAACCGTTCCTGGATTATTGCACAGAGAATCCCAGTATAAAGGATAATCCTGGCGGAGTACCAGGAGAAAACCAGTAATGTTGACTTTGGAGACTTGAAGTACAGTCAGTTGAGTTCTCACATACGACTGAGGTAAAGTTATAATCAGACAACTGTATACTGCCTTGATCCGAAGAACTAAAAATTGTGCCTCCACTAACCGTTCAGGAAAGGGTGTACGTGCTACACTTGTTCTATTAACTGGTAAATTAACATAATTAACTTGGTCTAAGCAAAACTAAATTGCCAATAACGTGACGAAAACAGGCCAAAAATAACCACGAATTAATAACAAAAAGTATGTAAGCACATAGTGATCAGTACAAATGTAGTTATTTTGTATTTGTGGAAAATACCGCGTACGTTATTGTCTGGTAAAGCATTAGATCCGTAAACCTGGAACATTGTAATGATCATAATTGCCATGTATTGTCAGCTACACTGTCAGTATTGTATATGTCAGTGTTAGTTTGTAGGTATATTGCGCATTCTATGACATGCTATCGGCAAAAACTGATTAAGAATATAATAAATTGCAATACCACAAATTTTTACTCTAAACTAGCATAAAAATTGCAATTGTTCTAGCCTGCGGAACAGGCTCTCTTTGAACTCTCTTTCTAATTCAATTCAAAGGGCCTGTTCGCAGGCTACAATTGTTCTGCAAGATGCATTACTTACCATACAATCTATATCCATGTCTTCAGCTCCCAGCTCAATCTGTTCTACCTAAATAATATTTCAAATAGCAAATGACCTTAAGATGTGCAAACGGATTACAGCCTTACAGGTATAGATATTTGTCGTGAGTTTCAGCGTAAAAGTTCTAATCTATTCTGCAAAATAAATAAAGCAGCCCGCCAATTAATGACAGGGGTTACGGAGGAAGATATTTGGAGGGTTTATGACACAAATGACATACACCTACTCACATGCAACATGCGAATTCATCAATTCATGATCATCCTTAGCCGAAATGGTTTGTAGAAGATACCGTCAAAAGTCGGCTTTCGAGAGAATTTAATCAACATGCAGGTAAACGTATAGGACAAAGGCAACAAGGAATAGACAAGAATAGACAAGGAATACAAATCGTGAAACGCAAATGCAAAGCGTGAGCCAGTGTAATAGATGTCTATATATTACAGACATCTCAACTAATATCTCCGACAAAATCCAAACATTAATATTCCCTAATTTTTAGTTTGGAAATAAAATCGCATCGTACATTGACATGCTTTGTGACGAAATCGCGCTCCGGGTTGTTATACAATTAGGCATAGCTATATGCTAAAAATCGTGGACTATAAATTGAACACAAGCGATGGAAAGGCATTATATTTATGATGGGTGTGTGTTAAAATTTCAAACGAGTCATTTCAAGTAGATAATATTCAAAGTTTGTTTTTTTTGTAAACCGGGTAATTGTCACACTCTCATTGTAATCCACCCGTTGAAGACTGCAGACTGGCAATCGAAAGCTCGTACTAAATAAATATTTAAAACCAGAGAACGTCTACAGACTTATTATGAGTCATTTCAAGTCACAATCGAGCAATGAGAACGCACATAATTTTGCTACTAGAAAGGTTAAGATACCCCGGTTCACGGGTGATATACACGTATACCCAAAAATAGGGGTACGACTTGCAACTTAAGAAATCCAAGATATTCCGGGGTACGAAAACCAATCGGAAAATTTGTTGTTGAGGTTCATCATAGATTTGAGGAAAATTTGACGACCAATTTTAGGTACGGTAAACGCGGACATCAGCAAAATTTGGTAAACAAAGTGGCGTATCTATATAGGCTGCGTCTACACTGTACCGGATAGCATTCCGTAGTGACATTAAACTAGGGATCCAAGGATAGTGTAAAGTTTCAAATTGAAAAAGACACGGCAAGAATTGTATAGGGTCGCCGACAACCTAGAACAATAAGAGCAGGCATAGGCTACAGCTAGCGGGCATAGGCTACAGCAGGCATAGGCTACACCAGGCATAGGCTACACCAGGCACGTTATAACCAATTTCTTGTCACTCCCTTCGTAACTCTTTATTAAATGTTGAATTGCAAGAGCTCTTATTTGGGCATGACGACTTTCTGTTTTGTAAAGCTGATGGCTTACACAACGAAATAAACAGTTAGCATAGGCTTTTCATCTCATTATCTATTGTTTTTAATGCGTTCGGCACACGAGTAGCGTGACGTTTGAAACAAGTCTAACACATCAGAAACGTCGTGCCTCGTGGAAATGATACAATTTATTTATTTATTGTGATGCTACACGCGACAAGTCGAAATTTAAATTGTTTCACCAACAACCAAATTTTGTATATTCTAACTACATTAATTTTGCATTGGGAGCTGTCGCTGAAAGTATCCCCATGAGGCTACTGATATACTAAACTTATTTAAAACTATGATTATTCCCATCATCCTTTCAGCGCCATATTGCACATTTCACTATTGTCTCAGTGAGTACTCTTTAATTGAAATAGCTGTATAATTAGTTAATACGACGTTGCATCCATTACAAAATAACATAAATAAAAAACACAGAAACGTAAAAATGAGGCGAAAAACTCATTATGACGCAGTTTATCCCCATATCCGTTCCGCATCCGCTCCGTGGATCCGTTCCGCTTCCGCATTTTAACCTAATTGTGACAGACATGTTTCACAATAACAAGTCTCATCACGGTTAATAGTGGTCTCATTGACCTTAGCCTGCTCGCAGGCCGTTTGTCAGGCAGAGGCTGCGAGGTACGGCCTGCGACCTTTATTAGTAAAAAGTCGATTTGTGCGTACGCTCCGTACGCAAAATTCCCATTGGTCAGAAGTGCCCCATGAGTTAATATCGTGCAAATATTTAACTCGTACGACATTTCGCAATGTAATTTTAAAGCTGGCATTCAATCAGTGGCGTATAAAACCATGACTTTGTTTATCTCTTCGAAGAAGTAACTGAATGTATTTGAGAAACTTTCAATTTAAATTAACGTTGAAGGATGAGCGAAGGTTAGCAATATTAACTGTACTTCCAACGGGATTTGATAAAAGTTTAATCTGACCAATACTTTGTCTTCGTCAGCTATAAACCATTTCCAAAGAAGTACAAGGGAAAACTTCGACGTATGCCTTGCTGATCTTTGCAGAGAGAGTAAAATAAGTCTAGTTCAGGCTGACAATTTATCTAACCGCGTTTGCATCACTTGCGGCAGAAATCTTCGAGACTTTTGTGTGTGTTTTCAAACGTTGAACAACTTAGCCCAGCGAGACGTTCGTTGAGACACAGGCAGTGAATCAGCTAATATAAAGCAGTTGATTGTCAAATGCCTCCGAACATTTCTCCCAAATACTTCCCTGTCAACCCAAGGCTTTCTGCCTCAACAATCTGGTCTTGAATAATCCAAGACAATGGGCAAATTATTAAAACAGACGCCGTCGAGGAAAGTCGTTCTTAGAACACCTGGCCAATTTGAATTTACACCTGGAAATTTTGCAATAGTCGTTTGCGTGTTCTTTGACCGAAGTCCGCTCTCTCTTTGAGACTTTCTTTTTGGGAGTCTCAACTAGTGACATATATTATTACAACAAGAGCTTTTTTAAAAAAAATGTAGTTATTAAACACGGCAGAATCGATGCCGCGGCCACGGGTTTTCAAATTGTCTATTAGACTTCACGCAATAATGATTAATGTTGTTTTTTAGCCTGCTATTATTCGACACTTTTAATAAATAGTGTTTGTTCAAAACCTAAATACGTTTCCTTAAATCTTACAGTTATATTTTGGATATAAATGTATAAAATACATTAACTAATAGAGAATAAAATTTTATATATTTAGTTACAGTTATATTTAGTATAGTTACATAATTTAAAACGGCAATGTATACGAACAAGACAGCAATATACAAACGGGACTATGTTTTAAATATTAGAACACTTTAGGGAAAAAACGACCATGCATTATTTTAGATTAAAGTTTAGACCTTGGAATCCTAGTGAAAGATACAGGCGTAAAATTGCGCGTGAAACTGTTTGTTGCAGGGGTGGATCTAGACGTTCTTGTGACTAGTTTCCAAGACAACACTAGCTCTCACCGTGAGGCGCGAGTTAGCTAAGGGGAGGGAGGGGGTCCAGGTCCTGGAATAAACACAAATTAACAATTAAAGTTCATTTTTTTTTTTTTGAGGCATTTGCAGTCTCTAAAAAAGAACCTTTAAGTTTATACTTTATGTCAATGATCAATATGAATATGTCATTGTTCATTTGTTCTTCTGCTATCTTCACTGTGACTTCACGTCAGTAATGTAAGATGACAATGACAATTGGCACACAACTACCACTGTTCTTTCAAAGTTATACAACATCTTAGGATATCACTGGATGATCTGAATCGTATGCAGTTGACCATTGTTAGCAAAGTAACATTTCAGTTATTCAGTATATGTCAAAGCAAACCACCACTTCCAAAGAAGAAACTTAGAAGTCAAAGAAGGGATTATCGGGAAATATTTAAAACACATACAAATGTGCCTAACAAAATGTGAAACATTTTATGAATTCATGTGTATTAAGTTGCTAGCTTAATATTGTTCTTTATGGCTGTATGCATTTGATCAAATATATACTGTATGTGCATTTAATATTCAATTAATCATGCACATTTGTACATAAATTAACATGTCATATAGTCATGAATAACTAGTCAATTTAGTCATCACTACATAAAATATGCACCATTCTCATTCTTCTTGGATGAAGGGTAGCAAACAGATCAATGATCTGTTCATAATCCAGAGAAATTGCCTTATGTGCATGCATTAGGGTCAAACCATTTAGTCTTTCCTGGCCTGTAGTGTTCCTTAAATAGTTCTTAAGAAGTCTGAGAGATGAAATTGACCTTTCACAGCTACAGGAGGTGACAGGAATAGTTGCCAATATCTTTAATACAGTAAAAATATTTGGAAAAGCTACAGGGTCTACAGATATTAGTGTTTTGGATACCCTGTCAGGAAGTTTGTCTATACCAACTTCCTCAACCTTATCTTCCCATCTTCTTTGCCATAAAGTTAATTCGGCAGGCAAACCAATGACATTTGGGATGTCACTAGAATAATGTTGGCAAAATAGTGTAACAGAATTTTTCCATGTGGATGGGTTTGCCAACATAACAGTGGGAACTATAGAAAACCCACTGTAACATGTATAGGCTTCAGGAGGGAACCTAGTTTCAAGTTGATTTAAAGCATGATCAAGAAAAACAACAGAAAGATTAACTCTATAATGCCCTTCAATAGAATCTGATGGATTATTATTTCTATGTGCTTGCACTGGAATAATTCTAGGCTTACAGGGGTCAAGCCCAATTGTAGCTGCAAGTTCCACTGCCTCCTGATAGAGTTTATGGTGTTCTCTATCAATGTTGGACCTCAAGTCTTGAAGATTTTTCTTCAAAGATGAAATTTCTGAATGAGCCTTCAAAAGGTCCATTTCTTTTCTTTGCAGCTTTACAGTGCAGGTCTAGTTAAGTCTAATACATATCTAACTATGACCAAAGTAACAACAAATTGAAAAGTTATAGAGGGCAGCATCTTTTTAGCAGCTGCTTTGCTATTTTGATTCCAATCACCAGAATCAGATTCTTCGTCCCCCCCTTTCCTATTGTGTGCAATATCTTCTATCGTACATACAACTGGGAGAAGGAGCTCAACAATTCTATCCAAGCCATCAAGGCGAGCAATCCACCTGGTCTCACAAACATTAATTAAAACTTCATGCTTGGAAGCAGGCAATAAAGACTTAACCTTCTCTTTTAAATGCTGTTGCCGTTTAGGAGAGCCAGAGAAGAAAGAGAAAAGACTCCTTACAACAGACATCATGTCTTTAACTAAATATTCAGAGCAAGTATCGGCAACACAGAGATTGAGGCGGTGGTTCATGCAATGAACATAAAAAGCTTTGCTAAACTGACCTTGGATAAGTGACGAAACACCATTGTACTTTCCTGCCATATCGCCAGCACCATCATAGGATTGACCTCTGCAGTTAGCCATTGGTAAACCAAGGTCAGCTACAGCCTTCAGAATCATCTCTTTCAATGCCACTCCACTGGTTCCATATTCACAATGGTAGAAACCAACAAACTCCTCTCGAATCTGCTGACTTGAATCGACAAATCGTAGGACTAAGGAAAGCTGCTGTTTGTTGGATATATCAGCTGCCTCGTCTGCCAACACTGAAAACAGCTTACTTTCTTTAATTTCTGCAGATATTTTTGAAGTAATGTAACTGCCAACAGTGTTAATAATCTCGTTCTGGATTGTTTTTGAACGGTAGGTAGCATTTCGAGGGGCATTCTCAAAGTGTTCTTGCAGCGTCTTGTCTCCACTATCAACACGAAAAGCCAACAAAGCATGGAAATTGCCCTGAAGAGTTTCGTCGTCAGGATTGTCATCTCTTGCACCACGTAAAGCCACTGCATTCTGACCACAAAACACTACTGTCTTAATAATAGACCTCATCTTTTCACGATTCTGTTGGATCTGCCGAAAAGTAATCTGGTTTAACTGCTTGTCAATCGCCACAGTGCGTCTCGTCATCACATCCATGAAGTTTGCCATGGCCACCACAGAGAAGCTGTGTGTTTCACACTTGCCGGATGAGTGATTTTGGAGTCGCCTTACAGCCGTTGTCCAGAAAGTAAGCGGCGATCGGAAAAGCTTCTGTAGCCTCGCTGCGTTTTTGCCATATTGTATTCCAAAACAACGGCATAGAAGACAGAAGACGCCATCGAGATACTTTGAATACACAAGCCATGTGAATCGAACTAACCACTCGTGTCTACACTTTCGTAGCTTTCCTGCGGCTTCAGCCGATGCAGGAAAACTATAATTCAAAGAAGGCTTCCAAACATTGTTGATGAAGCGAAACTTCTCTGCCGGAGAAGCCTTGGAAATTGTAGAATAAACGAACCCTATGTCAAAAGGAGAACAATCTTCCTTTGGATCTAAAGGTTCGCCACGAGGTATAGCGAAAGTTGCCATATTAGCATTTCACGCAAACACTGCAAAGCACCACGGAATGTTCGGTCGTATTTATAACTCTGACTTTTGACTAGTGCCTGAGTAGTTTCCGTGGATTTAATTAACAGCCTCTAGCCAATGACAGCACGTCTTGACTAGTGCACAAATAATTTGATCTGCAGTTGGCCAATGATATGTGATCTTAACTAGTTTCCGTGGAAAATTTCCACGCAAATTGAACTGGTGCACACACGCAAAGGCACTAAATTCCACGCATTTCGTTGCATCGCTGATTTGTATAGATCACTGGATTGCACAGGCATTTTAACCCGGATTTGCGTTTCCTAGGGTCCCTCTTCCGGTGAAAAATACCGTATATAAACAAAAATGGCTGATTTCGCCAAATTATTATATAAAAAAAATATGGTCAAAATTACTGAAAATTTTATTAACGATTTGTTAATTACTTGAAGAAAAACACATAAATTCACAAGTTTGGAAAAATTTGACTAGTTTCCGGAAACTAGTGGCACTAGTTTGGATCCACCCCTGTATATATATATATATATATATATATATATATATATATATATATATATATATATATATATATATATATATATATATATATATATATATATATTTATAATATAGTCATCCATCGTATATGAGCTGTTCTGCAATCTGATTGGTTGAATTACTCGCCGTATATCAGCTCATATACGGCGAGTAGCGAAAAACAAGATGGCGGTCCAAAAACTACATGAGTTTTGCGAAGCAGAAAAAAGGAAAATATTCGCTTTGAAAAACATAATAGTACAAAGAAAAACTCTCAAAAAAAATTTGACAGGTTAGCAAAATACATTTATTACGTAGAAATGAGTTTAAATACAAGTTTTTTAAAGAATTAATACCGAAACAACAGCGAAAAAACATGTTCATTGAGAATATAAATTGTTCAGAAAAGTTTGCAACGAAAGACAAATCATGAATTTGCAGTCAACAAGCACTTACTATACTACCAAACATCTGTATAATATATCTGAGCTTTCCTGTGAGATATAGAGGTTCTAAAACCATTTCTTCCACTTCGTCTTCGAGTTGTAAAACAAAAGTATTCCAAATTTTCAAGCGGTTTTTGGCCGAACAAATTGTCAACACATTGTAACAGTGAATAATTAATTACTGCTTCAGTTAATGGCTATATTAGACTATATTATAAAACAATTATACCATTCGCTCTCGTCGTATATGGCTGATAGCCGACTCGGTGCCACGCACCTCGTCGGCTATCAGCTCATATACGACTCGAGCTCATGGTATAATTGTTAAATATATATATATATATATATATATATATATATATATATATATATATATATATATATATATATATATATATATATATATATATATATATATATATATATATATATATATATTATTATATATATTATTATATATATTATTATTATATATATATATATATATA